TTGCCATCAATGCATTAGCCCAGGCTCATCTCCTGCCTGGTCACTTAGAACCTTTATCAGTCAGGATTCTATTTTCAGCGATGGCTCTTACTTTTTATTCTCGTTGATGGCCAGTAGTTTTTCACTCTTTTCTTCCTGTAGATTAAGTCTCCTTACTTTGTATTTCAAAATTTTCACTGTGGTCACTGGGACTTGACTCATTCACTTTGTTTCCTAAACCTTAGTTTGCCTAGTTGTGATATTGATTTATAATAAGAAATATATATTTAGTCTTTGACCAGTTCCTTGCACAGAGTTCCTAAAACCCTTGGAATGTCCTAAGTTATGAGAATGATAAAGCTGCCATTTTTATATTATGGAGGTAAGTTTTGGAAAGCTCCTAGGTAACCTAGGATTGGGGTTGGTTGCCAGGAGACCCAACCATGTGATAAAAGGTTGAAACTTTTAGTCCCACTCCTCAACTTCTAAGAAAGGGATAGAGGCTGAGGATTAAGTTCAATCACCAATGACGTAATCAATCATTTCTATATAATGAAGCCTCCACAAAAACCCAAAGGACAGGGTGCAGAGCTCTCCAGGGACACATGGAGATTGGCATGTTCAAAGAGTATGACAACCTGCCTCCCTTTCCACACACCGTACCCTATATATCTCTTCCATCCAGCTGACTGCTCTCTCCAGGTAATTAGTGTTAGAATTGAGTTGAATTGTAGAACACCCAGCTGGTGTCCAAGAATTTCTTGGTGGTGTGGGGGTAAAAACCCACGTTGGAATTAGTACCAGCATCATCCTTACTAGTTCCATCACCGAAGACCCTTTAATCTCCTTTCACCTTCTTCTATCACCCCCCCCTTCTAAGTTTGTTGCAAGGTCTATGTTTTATAAAAGGGAGCTCTTTCTCACCACTTGTCACTTATACATAAATGTTTAGAGAGTGTCCAATGTATTTGCAAAGTATTGGCTAGAAATGTGCAAATACTGATGGGGAGGGGTGGGAGAAAGAAAGGGAATTAGATTTGTTGTGTGCTCTTGAATTGCACACATTTTGTTAAAAAACTAGGAAGACACACAAAATAGTATGACATGAGGTGGTAAGGAATAAATGCCACTAACCAGCCTTCAAAGCCATCTTGGTGAAATTTCATCTCAAGTAGAAAACTGTTTACATCAATTAGAAAGAAAAACAAAAATCACCTCGACTTAAAAAAAACAAACAAACCGAAAACATGTATGTATTATGGACTTTTTTCAGAGAGAGGAAGGGAGACAGAGATAGAAACATTGATGGGAGAGAGAAACATCGATGTGAGAGAGAAACATCATTAATTGGCCACCTCCTGCACTGGGGATTGAGCCCCAAACTGGGGCATGTACCTTGACTGGGAATGGAACCAGGACCCCTCAGTCCATGGACAATACTCAATTCACTGAGCCACACCAGCTGGGCTCACCTCAAATTTTCAAATGCTCACGTTCCCGACCTGGCAATGTTGTGACATACTGATGGCTTACTCTTTTAGTACAGGGCAAAGATTCCTGGACTGAGCCTCTGGGGTCCTGAGTTCTGAGCTCCACAGATTCTAAGCAGGAAAAGTTGCCTAATCTGCTGTGTCATAGCTTTGTCACTGACTGATGATTATTCTTTCATACTGAAGATGCAAAACTCTTCTCCTGTTTTAGGTAACATGAAATATGATTTCCTCTGGCTGAACATTATTCATTTTGCCTATTGGAATAAGAAGTACCCATTATGATGCTCTGAATCATGACTAAACTCTATGGTATATATCACTGGAATAATATGTAACATCAGTTGTAACAAAAGCTATTGTGATCCAGATGCAGCTGGAAAAGCTCTTCCTCTTAAGAACCAGGTAACATGGATCCAACCACCCATTCTCTAGATTTTTAAGGACAAATACTCCTCCACTACATTATTTTAAGGAGCTTACATTCTTAACTTTATTTCTGACTCCAAGCTTTTGCTTATGCTAAATTATTTCAGTCTAAAATTGGTCTTGTCATTTTATGTGCACTATACCTGGCTCATGCACATAGGGTGCATTGCCTTATTAATTTTCTTAAGAAAAATGTGCTTGAGAGTAGGAGACTTGATTAAAATTTGGGGAAGATAAAGGAATTTATGTTTAAATAAATCCCTGCCTCCCCAACCAAAAATAAAGTCAAGAGTTTATTTTTAGACACTTCTGATGAGCAAAGAGGATAGGAATGAAGCTTTAGCAACAAAGTGCCTGGGGTAGAATTGTGGGTTTACTATGAATTACTGTGTTACTTCATGTCTCTGGACTTCAGTTTCTTCATGAGTAACACGAAGGTGATAATAGCACCAACCTTGTAGGATTTTTTGAGGGTAATTTTTTTTTCATTAATTTATAAACATTGCTAAAAATAATTTAACACATAGGTTTCCAATAACTCTTACTAATTAATGAATTAAAAGATATTTAAATGCCTTCGACCATTTTCAATCTTATACTTGTATCACTTGGTCTTTGTGACTTCCTCTCTTCTCAGCATCTCCCTCTTCACTCTTCCACTAAATTCCTATTTTTATTATTTTATGATTTTGTGATTCCTATTTTTATTTTTATTATGTTGTTCAATACAGAGTAATTTCACCATCACTTTTGTGGCCTTTGCTATATATGACTAATAGCCTTGGGAGTTACTGCTCCAAGTGGCTTATCAAGGCATTTTTCTAACGTAGGACAAATTCCTCTCTGAAAGGAATTATGAAAGCTACTGACTTGACATACAAACATGTACAATACAAGTATGTTTGTCATTTTAATACAAGTAGTCAGTGCTTCCAGAATTTCATGCGTAGTGTGTGTATATATAATATACTTAATGTATAGAATGTATTTTGATCCAGTTTAGCTGGGAATCTTTAAAGATGGTGCTCTAATGTGTCTTCACCCTTTGATTATAAGAGACTGACTTTGCTCAAGGTCTCTTGCTGAGTTAAGTGCAGACAGAGATTTTAACTGGACGTGGACTACTCCTCAAAGCTCAAGCTCCTTCTACTATATACCTGGCCAGTTATTTGTGTGATTTCAGTTCTCACAGCAATCTCAAGAGACTGACACTATTGTTATTACTTTTTACATTTAAGGAAACTGAGGCTTAGAAAGGTTAAGTAAATTGACCAAGATCATGAAGTTAGTAAAGGTCAGAGCCCATATCAGATAGTCTGCCTTTTGCAGATCTACTTTTTAACAATTATGCTATATTGACTCCCACCTCAAAATAAAGGGGGTCAGGTAGACAGAATGGGGGAATCCAGGTTACATAGGGTGATTTGTTATAATACAAGCAATGGAGCCGCTATTAAAAGAAAAACAATTCCCCATAGGAATTCTACAAAATCTATCAGAATGCTAACAATTTAGTGAAAGTTAGTTTACGAAATACTGAATTAAAAAGCATTTGCCTCACACAGCATTAGCCTTCCTGTTGGTTCACAAGATGCAAATGAAATATTAATTTTAAAAACCAAGCGGGGGAAACTACTTATTTTAAGAGGAAAAATATAAGAGCTCTACACTAGAATATTGTTATTGCAATTATGAAGAACCCGGAGGACAAGACAGGCAAGCTTTTGACAAAAATTGCCGCTGAAAATGGACCTTAATAGTTTCAAGCATGAAAAGATAAAAAATAAATAAATAAAAATAAAGATCATTGTTGTGTGTACATGTGTGTGCTTGTTTTATTAAGCTTCTCCTGCCACAAATTCTTCTCACCTCCTCTAGCTGGTGACTCCAAGCCTTTTAATGACAGCACAGGATGTGAGGATCACTAGTTGGCATTCTCTGGCAGGGAGTAACCTCACACAGGGGTGACCCTGGGATTCACGAAAGACTATTTAATGCCCCGGCGAAGGCGAAGTGGTTCAGGAACCAATATTTTATTCAGCTTTGGGGATGAGAGTTGTGATCCTGAATCCCTGATTTAGAGTCACTTAAGACTCCGACAGCTCCACCCCGGTGTTCTAGAGAAAAATATTCCTTCATGCTGATCTGAAAGCGACGCAGCTTCCAGTGTTCCGCCTGGGAGGTGGTTCAATCTTCAAAAATTGCCTGAGAAGCCCGTCCATCTGCTGGGGTGCCTGGCTTTCTGGAATAGACAAGGAGGAGCTTGGCTTTTCATCTGAGTAATTTGAGGATTTTCTGTTTGTAACTTAAAATCGCCCATTCAAAATAAAAGAGACACTCTGGCTTTGTAGACGTTGGGAAAATCCTTGTGACGAAGTATGGTCTAGAAATTCCTGGTTTAATTTCCCCTGGGAAAAGAGTAAATATTTTCTATCTGGTATTGGGCAGTCCACTCAAGTCATCTGCCTTTTTAAAAAAGGTTTGTGAGAGAGGGGGTGAGGGTGGTGGAGGATGAAGGAGGAATCATCTCAGTGCGTGAGTTGTCCCCGACCTACCGTAGCCGTTCGATCAACTCCAAGGAGGTGTTTCCACCTCTGCCGCCTCCTCCGGCCCCTTCCTTTCTCCTCCGCTCCGGCCTTAGGACCCAAAGTCCGCAAGTTTCCCACCCCCACTCCCCGGTCCCACTACTCTCTACCTAGGAGGGGGAGGATGCAAGGCCATCGCCGAAAAGTCCCTGAGAAGTGAGTCAGTGCGATCGTAGTCCTGGGGAAAGAAAAGGGCAATTTGGTTTTCTCAACCGCAACAGGGCTGGTGAGCAGTGTGACTTGAGAATGGCCTTATCACGCGGGTAACGCCACAAGGAAGTGGCTGACTCGGCGGCCCACCCGAGGCGCGGCCTCTGTGTCTGCTCACTATTGGCGGGCGGGCCGTCGGGGGCGGATCCAAGAGTCAACCCCGCCCATTCGGGCGCCCGCCTCCTCCGCGAAGTTCTAGAGCTGCTCTGATTCTTCGCCTCGGTCCTGCAGCGCCTCTAGGCTGCAGATCTATGCTCCAACCACCTGCTCGGCTCTGCGTCCTGGGAAGTCGGGAGGACAGAAGTGGGAGGGAAAAGGGGAAGGGAGGAGGAGACAGGCAGCTTACACACGCCTTCCAGTCCCTCCACTCAGAGCAGCCAGGAGTGCTGCTGCCGCTGCTATCCCTGCTGCTGCTATTGCTGCCACTACGGCTGCCACCTGAGGAGACCGCCTGGACCCGCTGCCCCCTGTTGCCATCCCTGGCTGTTCCTTCCTAGCACCGCTTTTTATGCACATTGCCACCACCACCATCATCATCTTCATCATCATCATCATCTTCATCATCATCAGTATTCCAAAAGAAGGGAAATAGCAGATCAGCCAAAAAGAACCACGTACACCTTTCTGAATTGCTCAAGTATCTCCCGAGAAAAGAGGGTCGCCGGTCCCGGTAGAAGCAGCCAAGGGGAACAAGGGCGAGTGTTGAAAGGGAGGAAGAGTTGGGACACTGCGTGGTGGAAAGTTACGTGCAGCGCAGACCCGAAGGTGCAGCGCCACAGCCCAGGGGGCGGTGTGTCTGGGAGAAGCCGCTGCCCCCTGCGTCCCAAACCGCGAGCGCGCGGGCAGCCTGGGATAGGGAAGGACGCCCCCTCCTGCGGCGCGGACTCTGTTGGTGGCTCCGGAGGAGGTGGAGAAATATGGCATCGAAGGCGGCCCCCTCCTGCCGTCTGGTCTTCTGCCTCTTGATCTCCGCTGCTGTTCTCAGGCCAGGTGAGCAGGGGCCTCCGAGCAACCTCTGGCCGACGTGGGCCGGGGGCAGTTTCCTTAGGTCCCAGGCCCCGGCCTTGCACCGCCGGGCAGTGCGCCCATGTCCCAGGTGCGTGGGGAAGGTAAAGGGGCGGTGGAGCGGGCGCAGAGCTGGCCCTGGGTTCAGTCACCTATGCCACACGTTTGGGCTGGCCGGTTGGCTCAAGTTTGCACAGCGACAGGGGCACTGGGTAAATCTACAGGAACTTTAGGTGCGGCCGAGGTCGGGGCTCCAGGCTCCCGCAAGCAGGATTCACCTGGCACTCTCCCCTTCTCTCTGTGGCTCCTGCCTAGGCGGCGAGGTCTTGCCCACTGACAATCCAGTCTCTAAGTCTCAAAGCTCACGTCACTTCGCTCCAGGCAGTTTTCCTTTCGCTTAGCTCTCAGAGGCAATAACTGCCCGCACTTTTTTTCGAGATAAATCCCTTGGTAACTTCCCTGTGGTATTTGGCCAAGAGACAATCGGAGAGGTAGAAGAGAAAGAGGAGACTTTAATCGTTCCCCTAAAGCTTAAATTGTGGTTCGGACGCCCCCTCCCCCATTGTCTGGGTAGTGAGTTTCGGAATGGTGGTAAGCAGGGACCCAGGCAGGTTTATGAGACCTTACTATGTGGGTTTTGTGAAATTTTCAGGAGTTGTGATTCAACCTCAGATCTCAGTTCTGTTCCGAGCTTCATAAGAAATAAGACAAAATCCCCAACAACTAAAATATCTTTCTGGCAATCCCTTTCCTCGCCCTGGGGGTGTCCCCAGGCTCTGTCTTTCCGAGATCCACCCGCAGCTGACAAGAGTTGGTCCCAACAACGCATTCTTCGTGCTCACTGTCACTGACAGAGCAGCAGGTTTATTTCCTCACTAGACTTAAGGATTATTTGGATTTTTTTTTCTCTCATCCTTATGAAGTTTTGATCGCTAGCCCTTCATAAACAGTTGCAAGCACAACTCTTCCTGTTATTTCTGGTTCTGTTTATTCTACTCCTTTTCTTTATTTTTATTTTTTTAATCAAACTAAATCTCACTTCCCTTTTGCGTCTTTAATTTCTGCACATCCATCCCTTCAGTTGTTGGCAAGTTGGGGCCAAAGAGGAGGTTTGAAAGCCTCTGGATCGCTCTCAGGAAAGCGGGGGGAGTGGGCCTACTGGCCAGAACCTGGGGACCCGAAGTGTTTGTGAACTGCAGCTGTGTATGTTTGTGGTTGGTAGTGGTACGAGGGCGGGGTGCTCTCTCTAGATCTTTCTCAAAGTTACATTTCTGGGTGAGGTAATGAGCTCACCTGCTCTTTTGAGGTTGGAGAAAGAGAGGCATCTGTGACAAATCTCCGGGTTTGGGGCGGGGACTGTGAAACGAGAGTTTAGCCGGATTTAAAAGAGGTGGGGTTGGGCAGGAACACCGGGGAACTGGGGAGGAGAGACCCCCTTGGGTTTGGCACAGTGTGGATTTCTCTTTTTCCTGATCTCAGTGTTGCTATGGGAAGGAAGGGTACTCACTCTGGAGCCAAGACGAGAGAAGGCAGGGTAAGGGTGGTGTGGTTTGTAAAATGCAACGATCCCCACGCCCACAGTTGGTTTGCTGTTTAACCCTCTCGCCTCTTTGAGAGTGTAAGCTCACCTACAGCCCCACCCCGTGAGCACACGCACACGCCCAGTTTCCTTTTCCGTTCAGCCTCACTGGTATTCATTTTCAATGGGATCGCCTCGTGGGACAGGTTTCCCCGCACACTTAACTGCTAAAGAGGGAAGAGGTTCCGCAGATCCACTTGGTGGAAATTCCTTTGACGCTCGGGCTCGGGTTTCCTCTCCGCACCCATTCATTATATTACTTCTCTTTTTCGTGAGTGTCTGGCCGGGCTCCCCTAGGAGTCAGACGCCTCAGCCCTTCAAATCAGCGGTTTCCTTGAATTTACCGGGCTAGAATATGCGCAGTATTCTGTCTGTTTAAACAGAAAGGATAATGGCACTAAAAGCGCCATGTCCGGACTCAGGAAGCAAGTCCTGGGCTGAAAGTGCGCCTTCTTCCGAGCCCTCTGCATAGCGGAGCCTGGTGGGTATGCAGGGCTAATGGCTGGCTTAGTCACCGGGCCAAGTGACTTCCCAGCTTGCCACCCTTCATTTCCGGAACAGTTGTAACTGTGTGTCCAGATCTAGAGGATAAAAATTCGAGTTCGTTAACCTGCTCCTGCAGGTCTTTTGGTCGGTAGTCACTACACAGTCATTGATATATCTTAGGCATGTTACCTGTTTTGATGGGAAGGAAAAATATGTATGAACCATAAAAACTGAATTCGGACTTATAAAGGCAATGAAGTATGTGCTCATCATCCCAGGGAGCAAAGAATCTCATTATTCTTATAGAAAGAGCGTCAGCCTGTGGTGACATTTTGTATTGCTTTAAAAAAGGCTTTCCTTGATTATTTACAACAAGGAGGTGGGCACTGCAGTTAACTGTTTCTTCACGTAGGTCATCTGTGTGCCCTCCTCTCTAGAATTGGTCTTAATTGCTCGCTGATATAAGATTAATTCCAAGACATAAGCACACCTATAGTGGTTTATTTTTATTTTTATTTATTTTTGTCCCAGTGGTATATTATGTTAAGAAAGTATGTTTATTGCAATAAGGCCTTGGGATAAGCACCTACTCAAATCAAATAATGTCCTTTCAGACCACATGATGTGGGACTATTAAAATTTATTTATTTAAAAACTGCAAACTGTTTAGTAGCCAATGCATATTGCTTTTTCTTTGATGATTTATTTAATCCAATAAAATTACCATTTAATAGGGTACTATTTTCAGTAAACTGCTTTTCTAGGTTTGGCTCAGGACCTATCTTCAGGCACGTTGAGCAAGTCATTTCATCTCTTAGGGCTTCAGCGTTCTCAAGTGTAAGTGAAAGAGTAGGCTCAGGGTCTGCTCTCAGATATCTTCAGCTCAAAACTGCTTCTGACCACTTAAGGTAAAAAGCAAATTAGGACAAGGCAGAGTCATTTCCCTGTATTTTTGTAATTCTTTCAGTCTTCATGGGCACATTTTGTATAAATTTTATTACTAGAAAATGTCAGTGTACTCCAATTGCTAATTTTTCCATCTTTTTCCTACATTTACAAACTCATTTTTCTATATTGTGCTTACTCCTCCCGGCCAGAATAAGGCTATTACCAAAAAAAAAAAAAAGTCATGAAGAGGAATTAGTCTCCCATTCTCCTGGGTAAAGAGACCCAGGAAAAGGTTTTTAGATTAAAAAAAAAAAAAAAACCTTAGTATAACCCATCCCTCCTGGAAATCTGCCTTTATGTAAACTTCATATATATTTCTTAGGACAAATAAAGTTCATAGTTGACGCCAATGTGTTCATGTAACAAAAGCCTTATATGTACACCTGTAAAATGCTCTTAAACAAAGAAGTTGATTTGCACCATGGTTGTGAGTGCAATATAGAAGTACATAGAAAATACTAATGCCTTCCTCATGTTTTCAATTTTATATAAGTCCAAAATATTTTATGACTTATCTAACAAAAGTATTCTAAACTTTTCAGAAAATTCAAATTATCAATATTTTTTTAAATAGAAATTTGGAAAAAAATGCTTGTCTACTGTTGACTTACTTTTTTTTTAAATCAATGAAAACATACTTTAATAGTTGCAAATGTTACCAGAAATTCTTGTTGGGTTCACTACTTATGTGTTCAGTTTTTAGCTATGCCATATAAGAATGTTGTGACCTTGGGAAAGTCATTTTTTCTGCTCCTTTTTATATTTAATGTATAAAATTTTCTCCTTATGTAACGCATGATTCTGATTAGTAATTTCCTTGCTCAGCATTTTAACTTTTCAAGTAAAATGTGCTATATTAAGACTTTAATTATATTCTCAATAGAAAGATGCTCTTTATTTCACTTAATTATCACTTGACCATTTTATTAGAAGCAGATAAAATATTTCTTCTCTTTTTTTCCTTCAACATTTTGCTTTACTCCCCAAGTTTTCATGCCACTAAACATAGGCCTTTGTAAAACTGAGCACTAAGATATCAGCATTACTTCGTGTAAGATGGCAGTGTTTTGTCACATAGTATTTTAAATGCTTTACAATCACCTTGTCTTGTACTCTCAAGCATATACCTCTTTTTGCTCTGGCCATTTATTTTGTATTAAACATCATGAAAGAGTTCTAGCTCTCTGAAGCCATCAACTCAAGTAGACACATGCAATATAGACCCCAAATATGCAGGAGAGCACCATAGGTGCAGCCATGATAAAAGAGTAACCCTGCCTTTGTGAATACATGTAAACTTAAATGTAACACTTCTCAGCTCAGCCATTGTGGCTCAGTGGTTGAGTGTTGACCATGCAGCAAGAGATTGCTGGTCCAATTCCAGGTCAGGGCACATACCCAGGTTGTGGGCCAAATCCCCAGGGGGGGACAGGCAGGAGGCAACCAATCAATGTTCTCTCTCATCGATGTTTCTATCTCTTTCTCTTCCTTCCTCTCTCTCTAAAATCAATAAAGAAAAATATTTTTTTAAAAACAACAAATAAAATATATCTTCTATAAACAACAACAATAAAAAAAGCCCTGGCCGGTTTGGCTCAGTGGTTAAGAGCGTCCACCCGTGGACCAGAAAGTCCCTGGTTCGGTTCCACTAAGGGCACGTACCTCGGTCGCAGTTTGTCCCTGGCCTTGGGTGGCAACCACTCAAAGAATCTCTCTCACATCAATGCTTTCCTTTCTTTCTCTCTCCCTCCCATTCTATCTGAAGAGGAATAAAAACAAACAAATATATATATATCCTCTATATTTAAGAAGAGGATTATAGGCTATGTGATAAGGTTAAATTATACAGTTATCAATATTTCTATAGTGTACAAACTATTATATATTTGGAATTACTGATATTTTCATCCAGCAAATTTATGTTTAAATGACAAAATTTATATTCTCTCCCTTCCACCTTATTATTAAATGG